CCAAGGCTATCCCAGGTCTCTGGGAAGAGGAGAAAAGGCGGCAATGTCTTGCCCACCCCTAGCACTGCTCTAGGGCACCAGGGTCAGCACTGGCAGGGAGAGCACCCCCATGCACACCAGCCCGGCCATTTCCACACAGGTCTGCCATGCAAGGCCTGCCCAGGCCAGGCCTTGCTTAACACGAGGGGACACACACCCAGCCGGGGGTTACGGGCTCCTGAGGCCCAGGGGCCCGGTTTGCAGCCCTTCTAGTTACAAAATAAACCTTGAAAACGGGATTTAAGTGAACCCTGAAGACTTGGCTGGCAGAGAGGGGGGCACCAGGGAGCAACCAGGGGCCTGGGATCATGATGGGGCACGTGCACGTGTCTCTATCACAGTGGGTGTGCGCACACGTGTGAGGTGTGTATCTCCATGACGGTGTGGTGTGTGTGTTCACAGGGGCTGGGTGCACACGCACAGCCACGCTCTGTGCACACTCCCAGGGTGCGTCTCTCTCTCTGGCAGCACGACGTGTATGTGTGAGCAGTCTGCCAGGCCTGGCCTGGGGCAGCAGCATCTATGGCTGAGCTCAGAGCAGGGGGCAGTCGGCCGACACCCCGTAGGGCTGCAGGCCTCTGCTGGGAATGAGCCGCTGCCCCTTTAAGCCCCCCCCAGCGGCTGAGGGCTGGCGCGCCCCGCACTCTCTAGAGCGTGCTGGCTGATTCTCACGGGGCCCGGCCCGGCGCTCCACTCCCCTCCCAGAAAATTATTCATGTGCACAGAGCGCCAGCAGGAGCTGCGCCGCTCCCTGCACCACAGGCCTGAAATATTAATGCCCCGTGCGCCACAGCCGGGCAGCCAAGGGCAGACGGGGCGAGAGCGCGGCCAGCGCCGTGAACCTCAGCCGCCCTGCGCACACCCTGCGGAGCTGCAGGGGCGCCCAGGGAAGGAGGGAGCTGCCATCTGCTTGCTCGGCACAGCCCAAGGCAGCAGGCGCGGGCTCGGCCAGGCAGCCCACCGCGGGCGCGGAGGCTTCTGCACAAAAAGGAGGGAAGCAGGAGACCCTGGACCACCCTCCCCAGGCCTAGGACTGGTTAGGAAGGGGCTGGGCTGGGGGGCTGCTCACAGGCCCTGCCGAAGGGAAACCCTCACCGTGCCCTGGGGCATCCCAGCTACTCACAAAGCCCCTCAGCCAGCCCAAAGGGGAGACCGCCACCCTCCTCCCAGCCCAGTCTGCTTCCTGCCCCCAGCCAGCCTGGGCCCTTCCAGCACCCTGCCCCCTCAGGAATGAAGGGCGCTGCTCTAGCCTCCTGCACCACTGCCAGGCAGCCTGCACGGGGCCTGCGTTACTGCAGGCTGAGAGCAGGACCGGGGCACCAGCACAGCAGTGGGGGGGAGGCGGGAGGGGAGCCCCAGCTGGGAGAGCAGGGGGCTGCAGGTGAGGATAGCGGGGAGCAGGGCTGGGGGGAGTCCAGGCTGAGATAGCAGGGGGCTGCAGGTCAGGATAGAGGAACACTGGCAGGGCTGGGGGGAGCGCAGGCTGGTAGGGCAGGGGGCTGTGGGTCGGGGTTGAGGGGCAGTGTCAGTAGGACGGGAGATTGGCAGGAGCCCCCCGCTCCCTGACCGGCCCCATGCAGCCCCCTGCTCCTCCCTTCAGGCTCTGCACCTAAACACGCCCAGCTGTGCCCCCTGCTCTCTGTTACTGACACCTCCCCAGGTCTGGGCTGCAGCTGGTAATGGGCGGCCTGGGCCTGGCTCCAGCTGCACCAGGCTCCCCCTCTCTAGTGTAACCAGAGCTGCCTGGAGGGGAGCAGAGCTCCGCCACCCTGCTGGGTCCTAGCGAACCCCGACTCCCTGCCCCTCACCCCAGGAGGGCGGTGAGCTGGGAGTGGGGTGCAGCCCCTCCCTGGCCTGCCATGACCTCCCACAGGGTGTGCAGCCCAGGCTTAGCGCAGAGAGCCAGGACACCTGGGTCCCATCCAGTCCGGACATAGACGCCCTCTGGCCAACGTGGCCCAGCCCCCAAATCCCAGCTAGGGGCCGGGCCTCCCTCTCCCAGCTCCAGCCCTGCTGCTCTCCCCTGCAGGCAGAGCGTGACCAGGGGCCACAGGGGCGTGTGCAGTGGCCAGCCCCCGCCCCCCACAGCCTGGCACCCAGCCAGCTCCCCACTGATTTCGCGAGGCAAACCCTGTGAACCAATCTCCCCTTCTCCGTACAACTGCACCACAGCCTTAACCTTTTCCTGCCCAGACGCCAGCCTGCCGCCCTGCCCCACACAACAAGACTTCACCAGTGGACCCTGAGGCTGCCCTGCTCTGCCGGGCCCACACTGCACAAGCCCGTCCGTGGCCTCTCTGCTACAGCTGCTGCCCGGGCCACCATGCCACCAGCTCAGGTGCTGGCACCTGCTCTGGGAGCTGCATGGAGCCACGGATTCCCCAGCCCCTGGCGTGCTCGGCCACGGCTGGCAAGGGGGGTGGGGAATTGGAGCTGGGACCTTTCCCCTCCAGGGGGCACCGGCTTGGATCCAGCCCCAGGGTGGGGCTTTCCCCTCGTGGGCACTGGGTCCAATCTCACCCCACCCTTCAGTGACGCCACCTGAGGAACAGTCAATGGCTTGTGTGACCTGAGTCTGCAGGTTCTCAGTTGGTCCCTGACGGATGGGTGCCCGTGCCATGCAGCCGCCCTCACGGCTGGCTGCCCAGGCGTCTGCCCTGCAGTGGGGAGAAGGCCTGGTCTGGCCATGTGGCTGGTGGCCTCCCCAGCAGAGGGAGAGGGGCTGAGAAGTGAGTCTCCGTGCAACAGCCCGTTAACATTTCTCACCTGGGCATGTGGTTAAATCACTGCCCCTGTCCTGCACCACAGCTGGCCGCAGCACACGGGGACTGGTGCCAGGAACATGGCTCCAGCCCTGGCTGTGCAGAAGTTGTCACACATGCACACAAGCCACGAGCGCAGTCAAAACACACGAGCCACCTGTCCAAACGTTCCCATCACACGCCCCGTCTCCGCGGCTGGTAAACAGGGTGTTTAGCAGGGAGACAATACAGCTGAAAACACAAACTGAACGACAGGAGAAAGGAAACCGTCGGCACAAAGTAACAGCAAACCTGTCCCCGCTTCCAGCCCCACGCCCAGCTCCTGCAGAGAACTCCCCGCTTAGATCCAGTCCAAGTGCTTCACGCCCTCCAGTTATGCCAGGAGCACTGGGCATGGGGCAGCGGGTCCCGCAGGGGCTCCCCGCCCCAGACTGTTCCTGCAGATACACAGAGATGGGCGGCACAGAGCCCTGTCAGGTAGACCAGCTCAGTGCAGTGGGCTGGGTGCTTGCAGGAGGTTTCCGCCCTGGGGGCAGCCACTCTCCAGCCCAGGACGCTTGCCTGAAGGCTCCCTTGCTCTCCACCTGCCCAAGAGAGGTGCCCCTTGCACGCTCCAGCCCTTAACCTTGACCTCCTCCAACACCCGCTAGCTGGGGGGTGCCGAGAACCACCTACGCCCTGCTGTGCCTGCACAACCAGGCGAGTGTGCTCGCACATGCACGTGCAAAGAGCACACATGCTTGCCATTTGGGGGAGGGACCTGGGTGGTGGGTCATGGCAGCTCACGCCCGAGGCGGAGATGGTGCCTGCCCATGGCCCGGGGTCTATGATCACCCACAGGGGGTCAGAGATCACAGTGGATGTGTGAGGAACTACCCAGCAGGGTGCCAGGGTGACCCCAGCAGAGCCCCCACTGGGTGACACCTGGGCACCCTCACCCCACCAGGTCACAGCCCCCCCCAGTCTCAGACAAGGGATAAGTTGTGGATCTGAGGGTAATTAACAACTGGCTGGGGAGAAGTCTCCGTCCCTGGGCTATTTCCCTAACCGCTCCGCACTAGGAATGGTGGGGGCAGGTCTCTGTCCGTGTTACGCAGGTTGTCACAACAGTCCTTCTGGCCTGGAAATACAGGGTCCGTCTCCCCCACCTTCCATGTCCTGTTTAAAATAGGTCACCTCCCCCCCACTGCTGGCCGGGAGGCAGCTTGCATGGCCAGAGGATTAGTTTAACCCCCGGGATGCTGGCGCTGTTTAAGACACAGGCCTGAGGGGGCAGCCTGCCCACCAGGAACCACCCGCGAGTGCCCGAGTCTGACGCCAGGAGCTCTGGGGCCACCCAGCTAACCCCCTCCTGGCTGGGAATCCAGAGGCTAAGAGCCTGCTGCTGGCTCAGAGCGCCCCCAGCCCATAGACACCACCCCCCTGGCCTGGGAGCTCCAGGGCACACGCCACATCCCCTGTCAGTGCAGCACATGCTGGGGAAGGGGCTGGGTGTGAGCGCGGTGCCAGCCAGACACGAGGCTGCGTGGAGCTGGACACGGGCCGGGGGGGGGGGGGGGGGCGTCATCCCACAGGGAGGGCAGAGGGCGCATGAGCTGCCAGGAGCCACTGCAGGCTGGGGAGGCCCCACAGGGTGATGGAGCGGCTGGAGGAGCCAAAGGCCAGGCTGAGAGCTCCCTGCCCCAGGGACCGCCCGATGCGGGGGCTGGGGACGTGGACAGGCAGGGCTCCCTGTTACCCAGCCCCCCGGGCCCTTCTCCAGGAGGGGTCAGTCTGCAGCCCAGATGTTCAGCGCCTTGCTCCAGAGCCCTGCCAGGCGGGACCTTGCCCAGGCCCCACACAGCGTCCAGCCGGGGTCAGGTCAGAACACAGGGCCTGGAGCTACAGGCCCAGCAACGACACCTGAGCCCCAAGTGCAGCCGGGAGGGGAGGGGGCTCCTCACAAGCACCCACCCAACCAGCAGACACGGCCGTGCAAGAGCACACTGCCCCCCCCCCACCCTGTCACAGCACCCCACAGCAGCCCCACATCTCTTCTGACACAGCTGGGTCCCCTGGGGCTACTCAGTACAGACCGCCCCACCCTAGCCCAGCCAAGAGCACTGTGGGACTGGCCTGCCTCAAGCCCTCCGCACAGGAGCCTCCGCGCAGCCCCGGCTCTGCCCTGCCCCGGCCGCCACCGGGGACGCAGTTACTCACATAGTCGTGAAAGGCCTTGGCTTCGCTGGAGTGCTCACACGTCTCCCGGCGGTCCGGCGCCGCGCAGTACAGGTCCCAGAACACACTGTGGGGAGAGAGCGCATCAGTCAGGCCCTGTCCGCCACCCAGCAACACATCCCCCCCAGTTCTGCCAGTGCCCCTCGATCCCGACCCACAGCTCCCAGCTCTGCCGGTGCCCCTCACTGACCCGCAGCCCCGTTCCCCCAGCCCTGGGCTCTCCCTGAGCAGCAGATCCCCGTTGTGCTGAGCTGCAGGGTAGACAATGAGGCCTACGGCCGAGTCTGAGCTAGGAAGGGGGCCTAGTGCCAGCCAGCTCACGAGGGGTTAACTAGTGCCACAAAGTCACTGCTGAAGCCCCTCAGCCAAGACCCACCAAAACTCACTCCACCACGGATCTGAACCCCTGGAGGCCCATTCTGTGCTGGTGCCAGCCATGGCTGTGGGGTCAGGTTGGACCCACGGGGTCAGGGCCGATCGCCCGCCGCGGAGAATAACCGTGCCCTTGGGGGAGCAAGGGCACAGCTGCACCTGGCCCATCCCATTCCAGATGCAGTGGCTGCTCCAGGCCCAGGGGCTGGCCCGGCTCCCGCTCAGCCCGCAGGCTCCACCGCAGAGTGTTTTCCCCGGTAACGGTTGCTAAGACCATCAGCTGGAGCTGAAGTTAAAATTCCAAGAACTTTCCACCAGGCTGTGGCATCCTGGGGAGGGGGAGGCCAGCGCCCGGCCAGAGCCACCCTACTGCTGGCACCCACCCTGCCCCGAACAGGCTCGCTCATGCACTGGGCTGACAAGCACACAGGAGGGGGTATGGGGCGGATGGGACGTGCGTGTCCATGTTTCTGGGCAGCCCGGGGCTTGGGAAGAGGCTCGGCGATCTCTGAATCCCCAAGGGAGCCTGCAGCCCCCTCACCCGTGGCTGCTCACGCTCTGTGGGCAGCACGGCGTGGCCCCGGTGAGCCACACGGACGTGCAGATCACGCAGCCACCAGCCTCACTCACGTCTTGCTCCCCTGCTTGGCCATGGCATAATGCACCAGCGAGGCCTTCCGGGGAGCTACTCCAGCAGCCCAAGGATTAATCCCAATCGCCCCCCCGCCCATGCCTGCTATAAGCCAGTGCCTAATAGTTTATTGGAAACAGCTAAATACACAGACATCAGGTCCCGACGGGCAAACACCCCAGTGGCTCCCAGCGCCCCGGGAGAAGGTGGGGTGGGGGCACTCACGGGCACACTGCTGCTACGCCCTGTAGCTAGATCGGCAGGATGGGTCTGTCTCTGCGAGCACAGAGCAGAGCTATCCTGCTCACTCTACAGACAGGGAGGCGATGCCCAGAGAGGCGGACGGACTTGCCCAAGGTCACGTTGGAAGTCTGGGGCCGAGCCAGGACTGAACCTGGCTACCACGACTCCCAGACTGACCCCTTCCCCGGTGGGCCAGGCTGTCAGCCCTCCTTCTTCCTGCCAATGTGCCTAACCTCCAGGAGCCCCAGTTACACACGCCGGCTGCAGCTGGCCATTTGGAGACCTGCTGCTGGCTGGGGGCTTTGGGAGCTGCTGACTGGGGGCTTTGGGAGCTGTGCCTCGAGTTAGCTGGTGGCGATTCTCCCCGGTCGACCCTGGTTTTATTTACGGCCCACAGAGCCTGGTGCCATGCAGGGGCTGCGCCGGGTCCGTCGAAGCCGCTGGGCCAAGCGGAGAGGGCCGATCCAGCAGCGCTCGCCCCCGGCTGGGGCTGGACTCGCCCAGCCCTGAATATGTCTAGCACTGCCCCTTTAAAAACCAATAGCTGTCAACCACTCCTGGCATTTCCAACCAATAGGATGACGGTATGCAAATATACTATGGGGAACCAGGTGGTGAGTGGCCGAGAGCTCTGATGTCACCATCTCATCTCGCACACACCCCCGGACCTGCCCTGAACTTCAGCTCACTCCAGGGGTGCCCACAGGGGAGGTGGGGCAGCGGGGCCGGGCCCCGGGGGGCACTGACCCTATCATGGAGCACTTGTCTGGCCAGCGTCAGCGCCCCCTGCAGGAGGCCAGGCACCAGCGACACTGCTCCGCCCAGCCAAAACCCCCGACCTCAGGGGCGCAACCCCCACGGCCCTGGGCATCGGCATGGACCATTGCCTCATCCCCCTTCTGCCCTCCACCACAACCCCAGCTGTTAGGGGATCCCTCCTGCTGCTCTGGGATACCCGCCCCTGGGTATCACGGCCCCCCAACAGCCCTGCACCTCTTCCTCCTTCCCAGCAGGAGCAGGGGCTCCGGCCCAGTGCAGGGACCACCCCACGCGGACATGCTACAGCTGGGGCGTCCAGAGTTCAGCAGGCTCGGACACTCCCAGGATGGAGGCACAGCACAGTGGGTCAAGCAGCCTCACTGCACCCCAGCCTTCTCCTACGCTCTAGGGCCCTTTCAGCAGCCCGTCCCATGGGGTGGGAGCGGTTCTGCTGCATTCACCCCCAGGAGCCCCCAGGAACAGGAGCAGAGATTACAGCACCTTGCATGCACGCGGGGGACTCAGATTTGCAGGGCCCGGCTGGCAGGCGAGTCTCCCCCACCCACCCCCAGGCATCTCCTGTGGGTACCCAACTCGAGCAGCCCCATTCCAGGAGCTGAGCCCTATTCCCCTGCGGCTCTGGGGGCAAAGGACATGGAGCTAGGAACAGACCCCAGACCCCTGCGCTCCAGCCACTGCCCTAGGCTGCCTGGCCCTTCACCTTCTCTTTGTGACATCACGGCTGGTTGCCAAGGGGCCTATTGTGATGTCACAAAAAGAGGATGGGGGGGGAAGCTCTGAAGCAAGAGACAGCTGGCTGGGCTGCACAGAGGACCCTGAATAACCCCGTCCAGCTGGGGCACGAAGGAGAGGTAGGAGCCCCTCCTCCCCCCCCCTCCCCCCGCAACCTGCATCCTCCCACAAGCACCCCCAGCCAGACATGCCTTGGGGCAGCACGCCCCACAGACCCAGGAGTCCATGCCAGGCTGTATCAGGCATCCCAGCCCCACGCAGCCGGCCTGTCCCAGCACAGAGCTGTGGGGCTGGAGAGCTCTGTGCAGCTCAGAGCCAGCCCCTCCCTCGGGGGCCAGGCACGGTTTACGCCCCCGGCAGATGGGGTGCACCAGAAGGTGGAGCCAGGCACAGGGCATCTGGCAGCTACTTTGTCACGGGGCAGACAGGCAGGACAGGGCACGCACAGCTCAGCGGGCGGGGATGGGAGCTCCGTGCCCCCCAGCCCAGGCCCTCAGAACAGCCCAGAACCAGACCTGGCTCCAAACCCAGCCCAGCCAGGCTCCTGGGGGAAGAAAAGAAATGAACCCTGACCATGAACTCCTCCTGGAGTCCTAAGTCTACCCCCCTTTAACAGAGGAGCTGTGCAGGACAAGACCAAATCCTGCCTCGTTTGTCCACTGGGCCCTTGTCTCCTTTGCGCTCCTGTCTGAGCTGTGTGAACTTGGGAGGATCCCGCTGGTCCCAGAACATGGGGGTGCCACGGAAAAGTAGGTCAGGCCCAGATCTAACGGGACAAAGCCCCGTGGCTGCCTAGGAACGGTGCTTTCTGCCTTTTTGGGGCCAGCCAAATTGTCTCCATATGTGTGAGCCGGGCCTGGTGGGGCCCAGCGCTGGGGGAGCCGGGGTGTTTCCGGGAAGCAGGATGGGGGGAGACCTAAAATAAATTCCAGTTGCTCCTGCAGGCTGATGGGAAAAGCAGAGCAGCGGCTTTATGGGGTTCGAGGTGATGAGTGTCAGCGGCAGAGGGAATAGCCACAAGGGACAGGAACTGGGGGGGGGGGCAGCCCTTCCCCCTCCCCACTCCACTAACAACCCCCCATCCCCTGCTCTGCTGACAAGGAGAGGGGAGGGGCCATCTCCCCCCACGTAGAGCCCAGCTGATCAGGGGAACTGCATACCCACCCCATGGCTGTAGCCCAGGGGACAGCCCATCCCCACCCCCCCGCAAGCTGGGAAGGGCACTTACCACCACCAGGAGTGCAGGAAACCCGGGGGCTCCCCTAGTGTGATGTTCTTCTCCCATCGGATCTGCAAGAGAGAGGGCAGGTCACCCGAGCCGTGTTCGGACAGGGGGCCCCAGTTGGAAATGCAGCAGCAGGCACAAACCCCTGCAGCGTTCCCGTCTGCTGGCCCCCCAACTCCAGCCTGTGGGCTTGGAGCGCAGGAAGCTACCTGCCGTGGGCGACTCAGTAGGGCTGCCCCAATGCCCTGCAGCGGCACAGAACCAGCTCTGGCAGCACCCAGGTGACGCAGCCTCCGCCGGACCCATCCCCACCGCACTCAGGCATCCCTCTCCCTGCCCCAGCTGCAGACCCTATGTCCCAGCCCCCCTTGGCTGGGAGCCATGCACCTGGGGCCCCTCACCAGCCTGGGACTGCCCCCTACAAAGGGCCAATCGAAAGCTTTGGCAGCCCATGGTGCCAAAACGGCCCTGGCCCGTACGTGGGACTGGCCTGTGAGCAGGGGTGAGATGGAAGCTCTAGCAGGCAATGGGAGAGCAGCTGGGCCATGTGCCCAGGCCATCCTGGTCTTACCTCCGAGAGGAAGGTCTGTGCAGATTTCTGGGCTCCCACGTGCAGCAGGTACTCGTACACGTACAACGCCAGCCTGCGCGAGACCAGAGATGCCTCAGTCCCAGGAATGCCCCCTACCCCCCCAGCCCGCTCTGCGGCAGGATCTGGCCCCATGCAAGGGGCCCATGGGGCCAAGCCAGCCAGAGCGTTTGATCCCAGGAGGAATCGGGTTAGTTCTGTCCCGATGCCCCACAGAGCCGAGCCCCGGGGGGGGCCTGCACCCCTCCCCCACCCTTCACAGACCAGGCCACTTCGGTCAGCCTCACTGTGCTATCTGGCCTGGGAGCCCAATTCTGCCATCTCCTACCTCCAGGCACAGCTCTGCCCATGCAGGACAGGGGCTGTGGGGAGCAGTACGTGGCCAGTGCTTCCAGGAGCCCCCTGGACACCAGATTCCCCATGGGGAGAGGTTTCCTTCTCCCCTTGCCAGGAACTGGGATGCAGACAAAGACCCCTCCCCAGGCCCAGATCTAGCATTAGCAAGCGCCTCCCAAGGGGAACCGCACGCCCTCCAGGCCCACAGGGCAGAGTCCGTCATGCTGGGACCTGTGTCTAGAGCAGGCATCATGCCAGGCTCCATGGAGCAGGGAGGGCTTGGAAAAGGACTCAGACTAGACCATTCAGTGCCAGCCCACGTGCCCCAGGGGTGCCCAACTCCTGCCCCACAGAGTATGAGGGGGCTGCAGCTGGGGTTACCACCTTTGAAATGCAGAAAGTCAGGCGCACACTCCCCCCCACAAAACAAGCCCGCTGCACCCCCAGGCAACTCCGCAAACCCCTCCCCCCACTCTCGCGTGACTCAAACCCTCTCACGCCCGCGTGGGGCGCTGGCACGTTGGTGGGCAGGCAGCTGCTGTATTTGTAACCGTTTTGATCTGTTATCTCAAGCTGCAGCATCTCTGGCTGGACACCGAAACTTTCACCATTTGCTACCCCAGTGTACGGTGGTGATGATGCAAATCTTTAGACCCATATTAAAAAAAACCACCACCAACCCAGCAGATTAAATTATTTTTCTGGCAACTGGCAAATCCAGAAAAAACCCAGCCAGGGGGTAACCAGCATGGGGGTTAGGGCATTCATTCTGCAACCAGCAAGGCACCCCCAGTGCCATGCGGTGCCCTGGAAGTGACACAGGGAGCGCCCTTGGGCACCAGGCTTTCCCTGCAGGGAGAGGGGTTTTCGCTGCCCCGGGCACAGCGCTGGGACCAGAGAACAGCCCCTGGGCTCACCCTGTCTGCCACAGGCCCTGACCGGCCCAGAGCCTGCACCCAGGAACACATCAGCCCGCACAGGGGGCTCTGGCTGGGGGGGGGGGGGGAGGGGATGGGTCCAGCGGGACGAGACACTGCACAGTCCACAGCGAACCACGCAGCCCCCTGGCACCCCACACGACCCCTGGGGCATGAGGCACAGCCAGAACCAGAGGGGAAATGCATTCCCAGCCAGGCTGTCCAAGGGAGAGTGGGGCAGCTCCGCCCAGTCCCCCTACACCTTGGGCGCTGCCCTGCCCCCCATCATGGGGCCTGCCCAGCCCTGCCACTAGCGCCTGCTCCCCCATCCATTTGCCAGCACCGCAAAGCATCAATTATTCAGAACATCCTGAGCAGGTTGAAAAGCCGCCACAATGCAAGAAAATCCGGAGCGTCAACACCGCCTGCCCCCCAGACAAAGGCACCGCACGGCTGGGCTGAGGCGCGCCCCAGCAGGGAGCCCAGCAGGCCTTGCGGAGCGGGAGGTACATGCCCCTTGCTCCCCCTGCCTGGTCCCCCTCACGCACCTCACCCACAACCCCGCTCGTCTGCAGAACCCTGGCTCCCTGGGGGCCGGTTCCCACTCTTCCTCCTGCCCCAGTGCTGACCCACAAGCCCCAGTTCTCACAGCTGGCGCCTTCTCCTCACCATACCCACTCGTCCATCACTAGTGGAGGGAAGGGGGCAAGGTTTGTTTCACCCCCTGTGGCCCCAGCATGCCAGGCCAGCCCGTTCACACAGACTCACAAGGGCTGGGTGTTAAAGTGTCACCTGGGAGCAGGGGCTGATCCCTCCCCCGCAGCCCTGCCGGGTTTACAGGGGAGCCGGACAGGGCCCAGCTGCTGAGCTAGTTCAGAGGGGCCAGCATGTGGGGCTTGCCAGAATCCAGGGTACCCCCGCTCCCCCAGGCGGGCAGACCCTCCGGCCCAAGGGAGGATCCGCGGGGCTGGGAAGGACATTAGGGGGATGATGAGAGACGCAGATGGACCTTTCCTAGAGCACCAAGAATTAATCCCTGGACTGAGAGCACCTCCGCCGCCCCCCACCCCCCCGGCAGCCAGGGCAGGGACGAGCCAGTACCTGTCTGGCAAACCCGGAGCTATAAATGAGCGTCCCAGGCAGGGCTTGGTCCCCCGGGGCCGCAGGCAGTGAAACCTCATCTGCACTGGCAACAGCTCCTGGTGTCTGAGTCCCGCCGGGTGGGGTGTTCCCAGCCAGCCCCGCCATGAAGCGATGCAGAGAGAGAGCACGAGGGGGGGATTAGCAGGGAAAAGCGGGGGGCAGAGGGATAAGCTGCGGGGGGAAACTCGGCAACTTCCCCACCCATGGAACATCGTCCCTCCAGTCCCCGGGATGCAGCGAGCGCACAGGACAACAGGCTCACGGGGCACAGCTCTGCTCCTAGGGGAAGAGCCCCCATGGGGAGCAGCAGCCCAGAGTAGGCGGAGATGGGAGCGTCCCCAGGGCAGAGATCCCCCAGGTCACTCACGCTGCACAGCCCGCGGTCATGGCTAGCAGCCGGCCAGGCTCAGGATATGGCCTGTGGGTCTCCAGAGGGGAAGAGCCCAGCTCAGGTCAGGCCCTGCCCGAAAGTCCCCCTGTCCGTCCATCCTGGCTCCACAGCAGGGCCCAGCCCACGCTCCCAGCCGGGCACTGCTCATCCTCTCACCGGAGGGGCGTTCTGCATACTGGCCGTGTGCTCCCGCGGTCCTGCCAGGGCCCCCGCCCGGCATGCCAGGCAGCGGTGATTATAGGTACCACCAGCAGCCCCAGCCTAGCAGGGCCGTGCATGGAGATCTCCACCCTCCCTGCTGGCTCCATCGGCTCCTGCCCAGCACCCTGGGGGTTAACACCACCGCACGCTTCCACCAGCGCCGGGACTTAATGCCACGGGGGGCAGAGGATTAGAACAAGCCAGACGGCGCAGGAACGCCAGGCTCGAGGTAACCTCTGTGCAAGGGTAAAGACAGCCAGGATGGCAGAGGAGCCGGGGCACCTGCTTGCTCCAGCTGCGTCCCTGGAGGGGTGGGGGGCTGAAAATGGGACCATCCCACCAATGCAGGGGACGGCCCCCCCACTGCTCTGCACTGCCCCCCCACTGCTGGCAGTGGCAGGCCCTGATGGGAGCCGTGCATGTGGCAAGGGCTATG